ATATTCAAATTAAAAATGGCTCAAGACTTAGGAAAAAAAACAAAACTATGAAAAGAGAACCGAAGGGATAAAGATGACATTGCAACATTGATTTAAGCCATAGGCTTTCTTCATATACTACTATGAAAGTGAGCCAACGAAATAGCCACAGTAATGTTGCTTTATTTGGGAGTTGTATTTCTTATGCATTACTCAGAAGAATAAGAAACAGAGATCAATTTGACAATGTACTGAGAGGAATTCTTAGTTACCAAAACTGTATGTAACTCAGACATATATAACACCATGCTAAAAATCTGTTAAACAAAAAAAAAAAAACCAAAAGTGGCCACATTTTTGGATTAAATATATATTTCTCTAAGTTTAACAAAAAAATTTTGAGAAGTTGTAGTGATTGATTTTTGTTTAGTAAAGTTTTTTTAAATCTATCATATTATTTTTATTGATTGGTTGATTTCATTTATTGAATCCCTCTTTCTTCCTGTATTGTTAGGATTTTGATTTTTTATTGCGGTAGGAACACTAACATGAGATCTACTGTTAAACATTTAAGTGTACAATACAGTGTTATCAGCTACAGGCACAATGTTGTAGAGCAGATCTCTAGAACTTGTTCATCTTGCATAATTAAAACTTCATACCTGTTTAATAGCAACTCCCCATTTTCCCTCCCCCAATTCTCTGGCAATCACCATTCTACTCACTGATTTGGAGTTTGTCTATTTTAGATACCTCACATAAGTGGAATGTAGTAGTTGTCCTTCTGTGACTGGCTTCACTTATCATAATGCCTTCAAGGTTCATCTGTTGTTACATATGGCATGGTTTCCTTTTTCTTTTTAAGGCTGAATAATATTCCATCGTCTGTCTATACCACATTTTCTTTAACCATTTATCTGTTGATGGACATTTAAGTTGAATAATGCTGCAATGAACATGCGAGGGCAAGTATCACTTTTTTTTAAATTTTTTTTCTTTTTCTTTTTTTGAGATGGAGTCTTGCTCTGTCGCCCAGGCTGGAGTGCAGTGGCGTAGTCTCAGCTCACTGCAAGCTCTGCCTCCCGGGTTCACGCCATTCTCCTGCCTCAGCCTCCCGAGTAGCTGGGACTACAGGCGCCCGCCACCACGCCCAGCTAATTTTTTTGTATTTTTAGTAGAGACGGGGTTTCACCATGTTAGCCAGGATGGTCTCGATCTCCTGACCTCGTGATCCGCCCACCTCAGCCTCCCAAAGTGCTGGGATTACAGGCGTGAGCCACCGGCAAGTATCACTTTTATCTTGATTTCGATTACTTTGTATAAATACCCAAAAGCAAAATTGCTAGATTTTTTTTTTTTTCTTTTTTTTTACAGAAACCTCCATTACTGTTTTGGCATAGTGGCTGCACAATTTTGCATTCCCACCCAGCATACAAGGGTTCCAATTCCTCCACATCCTCACCAACACGCATCTTTTGTCTTTTTGATAGTAGTCATCATAACAGGTAAGGTGATAGTAAGGAGTACTTCTGCACTGAGGCATTTGTCTTAACTATATTTTTGTTGTACTTTCAGGAGACTATCTTCTAATAGATCTGTAGAAATTTATCAAATCTTTGTTCACTTTTTTAACTTCTAAGAGCTCTTCTTTAATCTCTGAGTGTTTCTTTTTATGAAATTGTTGATGAAAAAAAGTCGAACTATATAGAATATTTTAAGAGATTTATTCTGAGCCAAATATGAGTGACCATAGCCCAGACACAACCCTCAGGAGGTCCTCAAAACATGTGCCCAAGGTAGTTGGGGTACAGCTTAGTTATATATATTTTAGAGAGACATAAGACATCAAATACATTTAAGAAATACATTGGTCTGGTTTAGAAAGGCGGGACAACTCAAAGCAGGGGCTTCCAGACTATAGGTAAATTTAAACATTTTCTGGTTGACAATAGGATGAGTTTATCTGAAGACCTGGGATCAACAGAAAGGAAATGTTCAGGTTAAGATAAAGGACTGTGGAGACTAAGTTTTATTGTGCAGAGGAAGCTCTCAGCAGACTTCAGACAGCAGGTGGTAAAATGTTTCTTATCAGACTTAAAATAAGGGTGCCTGGCTCTTAGCTGATTATCTCTTGGAACTGGACAAGAAGGAAAGAAAACAAAGGGGAAAGGGGAAAAATCCTCATTAAAGAATGTGGATTTTTTCCCACAAGAGACTTTGCAGGGCAATTTCAAGGTATGGCAAGGAAATATATTTTTGGGTAAAACATTTTGACTTTCTTCCTTATTATGCCAGAGTCAGATTGGAAAGTAAGTCAAGATATATAGGGTTAAATAAAATCCATCTGATGAGAATTTATGATTTGTAGGGCATGACTCTCTAGGCCCCTTAGACAGGAATTTGGGCAAGATTTAAGAAATCAGAGCTGAGTCCTCAAAATCCTATCATTGTTTCATGAATATGGTTTAAGAATATTAATTATGGAGGGCACGGTGGCTCAAGCCTGTAATCACAGCACTTTGAGAGGCTGAGGCAGGCAGATCACCTGAGATCAGGAGTTCAAGACCAGTCTGGCCAACGTGGCCAAACCCCATTTCTACTAAAAATACAAAGGTTAGCCAGGCGTGGTGGTGGGTGCCTATAATTCCAGCTACTTGGGAGGCTGAGGCGGGAGAATCACTTGAACTCAGGAGGTGGAGGTTGTAGTGAGCCAAAATGGCGAGACTGCACTCTGCAACAAGAGTTGCAACTCCATCTCAAAAATTAAAAAAAAAAAAATTAATTACGTGTATGTATATATGTTTGGGCATGTGTGTGTGTGTGTGTGTGTGTGTAGATAAATGCTTTTTTTTGTTTGTAAATTGGCTCATGTCCTTTGCCTATTTTTCTATTGAAGTGATCATTTTTGAACATTTTTCTTATGAACTTGGAAGAACTTTTCATATATGGAGGGCATTAACTCTTTGACATGACGGTTTTCTTTTTTTCCTATGTTACCTTGTCCTTTTCTTTCCTTTTCTTTTTTGAGACAGTCTCAGTCTGTCGCCCAGGCTGGAGTGCAGTAACACGATCTTGGCTCACTTTAACCTCCGCCTCCTAGGTTCAAGAGATTCTCATGTCTCAGCCTCCCAAGTAGCCGGGACTAAAGGCATGAGCCACTACCCTCGGCTATTTTTTTTTTTTCCCAGTAGAGATGGTGTTTCACTATATTGGCCAGGCTGGTCTCAAACTCCTAACCTCAAGAGATCCGCCTGCCTCAGCCTCCCAAAGTGCTGGAATTAGGGATTACAGGCATGAGCCACTGCACCTGACCATTACCTTTTTCTTAAAGAACTGTTAGAAGATGCTAGAAAAGATTAAATATTTAAATTTTGATAGTTATTAATTATAGGCCAAATGTGTTACTCTTCCTTCTATGAAGAAACAGCTAAAAGATAAATTATTACTTCCCACAATTTAAACTTCTAGTTACAAACTTTTGAGTACCTACAAGGTGCTCAGTGATAATACTGCTCTCTCTAACCCAAAGGTTACAATCCAGTAAATATCATTTTCCCTTCAAATAACTGTTTTTGGTAGAAGCAATTCTGGAAGTCTTTCCATTTTCATTATTAAGCAAGAAACATAAAGTTAATTTATAAATAACCTAAATTAAACAAACTCAAACTTGTCAAGAAAAACTAATTTCTGCTTGTTTAAAAATTAGACAAACTTTCAATAATAAATACAATGTATTCATCCATGTTCCTAAAAAATATTTTACAAAATCTGCAAGGAAATATACTAAAGTTTTACATTTCCAAGCATTACCACATTTTGTAATTCGGAAAACAGAAAACTTTATACCTGGCAAAGAAAACAAACTGGCCTATACACCTAAGTACTCAAAAGCATGATATGAAAGAACTTAATTTTCAGTTGCTCTGGATAAAAATCACTTGCTACTACTAGCGCAATTCTAAAAAGTATGCACACATGAAGTCTATCTGACAGCCAAGTGCTATCTGTTGAGGGTACCAGTAGGAATTCAGAGATGCAAAGATAGCTACCATTATAATCCTGAAAATACTCTATGGAATCTTAACTGAATGCTATTCCATGGATAAACAGCTAAATTCTGGAGTCTTTTGAAATACTTTTTTTTTTTTAGAGACGGAGTTTCACTCTTGTTGCCCAGGCTGGAGTGCAAGGGCATGATCTCAGCTCACTGCAACCTCTGCCTCTCGGGTTCAAGCGAATTCTCCTGCCTCAGCCTCCAGAGTAGCTGGGATTACAGGTATGGACCACCAGGCTCAGCTAATTTTGTATTTTTAGCAGAGACAGGGTTTCACCATGTTGACCAGGCTGGTCTTGAACTCCTGACCTCAGGCGATCTACCCGCCTTGTCCTCCCAAAGTGCTGGGAATACAGGCGTGAGCCACCGCACCCGGCGAAAGACTTTGGTGTTTAAACCGAAACATACATTTCATGCTTTGGTTTACAAGTTATATGGTAAGCACCCTCCTCCCCAACCAGTGAAAGGAAAGTCTACCCAAGTACTAGAAAAGAAAGACTGAAAAGGAACAAGCACAATAACATCTCTTTGGATCTATAAAATGGTATTCAAATTCAAGACTTTTGGAGGAACTTTTGGAGGGTTTTTGAGTAAGAGTGTTCTATAAGATCACAGTGTAAGTTAAAGAGGAAAGAAAAACAAAAAGTGGCTCAACAGTCAAAGACAGGTTTGTTTAGGAGAATAAACCTGAGAGAGGCTTCTGGCCAATTTTAGTCAGGAAAGCTCTCTCTTACAGACTAGGAGTATTTATTGGTGACAGAGCTTATTATAGGCTTGGAATGTTTCTACATGGGGGAGAAGCTTATGACAGTGTTGGAATGTCTCTGGTTGGAGGGGAAGTTATCCTGGGGCTGACATCTCTCCAGCCAGAGGGAAGGTCATGTTGGGGCTGGCATGTCTCTGGTCCAGGAGGGGTTTGGAATGTTTCTGGTCAGAGATGTTATGTATGATTTATGGTCATGCTGACCTTAGCTATAAGGCTAATGCCCTTTGGATTTTGGTGGATTTTGATCAAGGTGAAACTTAAAATGTTGGTCTTCGTCCAAAATGGCGATGCTCCTGCTCTGTCAATCCAGACCCTGTAGTTATAAAAAGGATGAGGGGCGGTGTGTTCTTTCTGGCTACTTCCTGTTGACAAGGGGATAGACAATTTTTGAGTCTTGCATTGACTGCAGAAGTAACACCATCTGTAGATGTTCTTGGGTAGTTGTCTGTGAAATGGCCATGATTCTGTCAGTTAAAAATCTTTGAAAAAGGTTAACTAGGCAGGGTAAGAACATTAGTCCTAGGCATATTAGGAGAGGGCCCAGGAATGGGGTGACCCATGCTATGATTCTGCTCCCAAACAAAGAAACTATTTGGTTGTTTTGGTATTCCCTTAGCTTTTTAGTCCTTTCTTTAAGTTTTTCAGCAGAGTCTCTTACTAGGCCTGATTGGTTGAGATAGAAACAACATTCCCTACCTAATGAGAGGCAGAGGCACATGTTTGCAAAGGCCCATGTATTATTTTTTGTTAGTAACCGTTATTCCTTCTATGAGGATAATAATTAAGCAAAATGCTACAGCAATTGAGATTCCCTGTCAGATATTCCACCCTGAGGGTGCTACAGTATATAGTCCTACTGCAAACAGTACAGTGAGTAAAGCAATTCCCACAAGGGTGGCATAGTAAATAATTTCCATCATATTTAAGACGTTCCTTTGGGCTGTCAGGGGTTGCTTCCTCAGCTTTCCAGGCTTCGACTCCAGTGTGATGTATCCAGGAGTTGATTCCTGTAAAAGATATTGTCTCAATTACCCTGGTTCTGTAGACTCACTAGACATGGGGGTGAAGGATTCCGGGCACCCTCAGCTATTAGTTGTCAGTGCCCAGCAGTGAAGAGATTTCTTCCTGTGATGGTTGGGGGGCTTAGAGGCAGCACCTGATAAAACATCTAGTTTTCAGTTCATAGGGCTTTAAGAAAGCACAACTTATTTAGAAACTTGTAGCCAGAAAAATTAGAATTTAATTTAAACTGTAGAAAATAATAAAAATTGAAAAACATTAGGCAAGACTAGAATTTAACAACAGGTGTGCTACAGTTTTTGAAACATAATTTTCTCTCTCCAGTTTCCCATTTATTAAAAGCCAAGTCATGGCAGGACTGGCTTGCTTTATTATACTTGGCTTAATTATTTGGATACAGTACAGCAAGAACAATTATTTGTTACACAGGACTTTTTTTTTGAGGTGGAATCTCGCTCTGTTGCCCAGGCTAGAGTACGGTGGCACCATCTCAGCTCACTGCAAACTCCGCCTCCTGGGTTCACGCCATTTTCCTGCCTCAGCCTCCTGAGTAGCTGGGACCACAGGCACCCGCCAGCACGCCTGGCAAATTTTTTGTATTTTTAGTAGACACGGGGTTTCACTGTGTTAGTAAGGATGGTCTCGATCTCCTGACCTCGTGATCCGCCCGCCTCAGCCTCCCAAAGTGCTGGGATTACAGGTGTGAGACACTGTGCCCGGCCAACACAGGCCTTTTAAATTGGTATTGATTTATCTGGCTCACCGCTTCATTTGGCCAACTCAGCCAAAATGCTTTGTGTTGGGAGCAAATAAATCACACCAAGGACCTATGTCCAAACAGTACAAGAGATACGGGGTAGATACCTGGAAAACGATGTGACCACACTATCATATTACAAGACATTGAATGGCATGCCACCCACTGGGTGCCAACGACCAGGTATTTATTGGCTAGCTCCAAATGGGACATATTGGCTATGTGGCACTAACTTATGGCCGTGGTTACCTCCAGAGTGGTTAGGACAATGTTCCCTAGGTTATGCTTGGGCACAAGGATGAGTAATTCAGACCCTGCCAAAACCAGCAAACCTTTTTCATTTACAATCTTGTTGGACACATTTGGTATTTCAACAGTATGACCACTTAGCTTGAATCTTTGTACCACAGACAGGTATTGAAGATGTTATATGGCATATAGAGGCTTTAATGAATTACACCCAACAGGTCCTGAATGATAGCTGCATGAGTATCTCCTCACTAAACAAGGAAGTCATGCTTATGAGGAAAGTTGTGCTGCAAAACTGTATGGCTTTAGATAGATTTACGGCAGCACAAGGGAGGACCTGCGCCATCATAAAAACGGAATGTTGCGTTTATACTCCAGATGAATTGAAGAACATAACCTGGCTTATGACTGATATGAAAACCCAGAAAACCCAGATACCTGTTAGATCCAAAACCCTCGTTAATCAACTGGTTGAGTGGTGGATTTGGATCCTGGGGAACTTGGTGGCAGACGCTTATTGCTTATATTAGTAATATTAATTTGTGTTGTGTCCTGTTTCTGCTTACAGTGTTGTTATGGGATGTGCCTGTAAATATGCCAACTGAAAGGGCTAGGGTAATGATTCCCTAGAAAATTGCTCTAATTGAGAAGGCAGTAATACAGCCTGACCTAGCTTCCAGGTGTGATTTCCTTTTGTTGCTATAAACCTGGCCTACATATTTTTTCTTTTTTTTCCTTTCCTTTTTTACTTCCTTCCTCTCCCTGTTGTTTTTAATCTTCATGGGGCATGACTTCCTAGGAATGAGCCTTCCTAAAGACTGGGGACCTGAACTGCTAGGAATAAACCATCCTAGCAGTAAGAAAGCAGCTTGAAAAAGGGAGGAAAAACCAGCCTGAGGCCAGGAACTCGTATTCCTTTTAAAATGCTTTTTCCAAAAGATTTTACAGAAAAAAGAAGGGAAATGTGAAAGGAAATTAAATTTTGGGACCCCAAACTCATTTAGCCAAAGGGAAGAAGTCAAGCTGGGAACTGGGTCATGCAAATCTGTCTCCCCCTTTGGTTTCTAAACAGGATGGCTACAAGATGAAAAGCTACACACTTCCCCTGTATTTTGCCCACAAGGAAATTCCCAGTGAGCTAAAATTTCATCATGGCAATGCCAATTGATAGCTTACAGGTGCAGTTACCCCGGCCCACCAGACGTAAATGCATATCTGATTGTTTCCCACCCCATTTTGTCTATTATCTTACGTAAAATGCAGATTCCCCCCATTTTTTCCTCTGCCCCTTTTATGTCATCTTATGTAAAAAATGCAGATTCGCTGAGCCAAAGGCATAAACGACTATTTGCCCCTACCTACCTCTTACATGACAATTGTGTACTTCTCAATATCCTGCCCTTTCCCCTTTAAATTTGGACACCTCAAAATCATCTTCAGAGAAAGGCATAGACTTGTCTCCCGGGCACATCCTTAACTTTGGCAAATAAATCCAAAATGATTGAGACTTGTCCCATCATTTTTCTTGACACCCACTACAAATTCAATTGGGTTGAAAAACTTTTCTTTTAAAATCAAGTATCAGGTGAAAGTCTGCTACTCACATGAATTACCAGAAAGAAATTAATTAATTTTACAAAAAAACCCTGAGAACTAGTGATATTAAGTGACTCAACCAAGATACAACATCAGTTAGTGGCAGAATGAGTTTTTAAATCATACCAGGCTATTGCTGTTAGGTTTTCTTAAAAGGGAAGGTGGGGGTTAAAGAAAGATGGGGGTGGGGGGGTCTACAGCAACACAGGTATATTGCAAAAACCTGCAGAGATGGGGGAGCAGCTTAACGCCAGAGCCTACCGCCGTTCACAGGCTGGGGACTTACAGGTATGGGCAGAAGGGGTCTGGGCTGTCTGGTTCACTGCCCGGCAGGATATTGATAAGATGTTCCTATGATCAGGTGGTTTGGCCCTTTTTTCCGGTTGCAGGGTATGATAGGGATGTTCCTTCAGTCGGGCCTTTGCTTAGCAGGGTATGATAAGGATGTTCTTGTGCACTGTGGTCAGGTGGTTAGGCAGGATGTTTCTCACAGCCCAAACTCCCGTGGAATGGGTTACTTTGACCAAGGTCTGCAAAATGGTGGGGGGAGTTACAGAATGGTGCAGTTTGGACTAACAATTGCCAAATGAAAGGGAATTTCATTTTGAAGCTAGAGAACTGGAAGGATAACTTGGGGGAAGAGGGTTCTTTGGAGAAAAGTGGGTCCAAGAGGAATCTACAAAGTGTAAAAATGGGAAGCTTTTGATAGCTAAGCCAGCATGAGGGGATTGGTATCCAGTAACCTGTAACAAGTGAGAAAGTGTTTAAAAAACAAGGTCCTCACCACTGTGAAAGTGAAAACAACCTATAGGATGGAAGAAAATTTGTGCAAATCATATATATATACATATATGACTTACAACTGGACTATATAAAGAACTCTTACAATTTAATAACGAGAAGTCAAATAATCCAATCTTTAAAAAATGAGCAAAGGATCTGAATAGACATTTATCCAAAGATGATATACAAGTGGTTAATAAGCACAGAAAATATAAAATGATGCTCAACATCATTACTCATTAGAAAAAGACAAGTTGAAACCATAATTAGGTACCATTTCAAATCCTCTTGACTGGCTACAATAAAAATGGCAGACAATAGTAAGTATTGATGAGACTGTGGAGAAATCAGAACCCTCAAACATATTTGGCGGTTATGTAAAATGATACAGCTCCTTTGGAAAACAGTCTGGCAGTTCCTCAAAAGGCTAGAGTTACCATATAACCCAGTAATTCTACTCTCAGGTATACACCCAACAGAAATAAAAACATGTATGTATACACAAAAATCTGTACACAAAACATTCATAGAAGAAATATTACTAACAGCCAAAAAAATGAAAACGACCCAAATGTTCATCAATGAATGGATAAAATGTGATATATCCACACAAGGGAATTAGGCTATAAAAAGGAATGACGTACTCATACATTCTACAACATGGCTGAACCTTGAAAACACACTAAGTGAAAGCCCGTTACAAAAGGCCACATATTGTATTATCCTATCTTTGTGAAATGTCCAAAATAAGCAAATTTATGGGGACGGAAAATAGATTAGTAATTGCTTATGGCTGGTGGGGTAAGGTTAATGGGGGAGTTGGTGACTGCTGAGGGTAAAGAGTTTCTTTTCGGGGTGATGCAAATGTTCTAAATTTGACTGTGGTAAGGGTTGCACAATTCTGTAAATGGGTGAACTCTACTGAATGTAAATTACATCTCAATAAAGCTCTTAAAAAGGAAAAAGAAAAGGTTCCCCAATTGGTATTTTCCACAGCAGTTAATAATTAGAAGGCAGCTCTTTAAGTAGGAAATTTAGGAGTAGCCAACAGATACTCCAAACAGTTAAATTCGTAAAAAGGCAACATCTGAACTGGATGCTATGCTAAAGGTTTGGGGATCTGGCGTGAGTGGCGGTGGATACCAAATAACATGAAGGATAGTCTTTGCCCTAACTGCAGGAATGATTTAATGAAGAAAACAAACACATAAAAATAGTAAAAAATGAGTAAGTGAAAAATGATGGATACGGAGCAGATAACCAATGCAGCGGCATGAAAAACAACTTTCGATTCACTGGAGTAAATTCTGGTCCTGGACAGACAGGAGGTTGTGGGGACAGAGATCGAGATCAGTGGGGGAAGGAGCGCTTCACGTTCAGGGGGCCATGAGTTGAACAATTCGGACAAAAGAGGTTTAGCTGGAGATAAGGCGTGAGAGTACAGTTCTATCTAAGGGACACAGCTCCGGGTGTGCCATTTTCCATTTCGTACGAGTCTCTTAGAAACAAAATGCTACAAATTCAACAGGCTAAAGTAGTCTTTCAAAGTAAAGTTAAAATCACACTGAATTACTATCTCTAATGACTGAGTTCATTAAGCGCAGTAATTGCACTTACAGGTTTTGTAACTAAAAAGGAAAAATGTGTTTCTTGTGGCAATGCATGCTCCAAGAACAACTTGGCTCTCCGCACAGGCTTGGAGATTAAAGCACCGAAGAAGTCCCAAGGTGGACATCGGACAACGAACGTACCTCAAGTCAACCGAGGGAAGCGAAGACGCGAAGGCATCCCGGGGACTGCATTTTTGCAGGTAAACCCGGGCTAGGCGCTCCCGCCGGGAGGTTGGCTATTGCCCGAATGCGGAGGCAGAAAAGCTGCGGCGTCCGAACAACAAGCTCACCGTGGCCCCGCCCGGGCCAGCTCTCGGTTTCCATGGCTAACGTCAACTCCGGCAACCGCCACCCGGAGCTGAACAGAGCGCGTGCGCGCTCAGGACCTGGCCGGCGCCCGGCTGGCCTCGCTGCCCCGGTCTATGCTCGCTCCGGAGGCGGGCCCTGCCGTACAGCAGGCTTGGCCTAAAGGAAGCAGGGAAATAGCGCGCTTCGTTCGCGCCAAGCTTGGGCCAACATTTGCCTGGCCAGGGACGACGGGAGTCGCTCATGCTCTGGTCTGGCACTGGGCCTAGGAGAAGAACCAGCGGCGAGAGCGCGGACGCCCTGAACTTTCCACTGGGCCGGGCCTTTACGCAGGAGCGTCGTTGCCCTGGTGACGTGACGTCCTTCCTCAGGATTGTGCGCCCGGGTCGGAGAACAGAAGTGCAACCGCCATTTTGCACATCAATTCCCTAGAGGTCGGGTCAGGTTGTCTTAACGCAAGGAGAGGGGTGTGGCAGGGCTCCAACCGCTCGGGGTCCCGCGACTTCCATTAATGAATTCGCACACTGGCCCTCACCACTCAACACACCGACGGTAATGAATGTTTTTTGAGTGATACTACATGCAACCTATTCGGCTTGGACGATTGGGGGACTGCATATACGTGATCGCTATCGCTTCAGTTTGTGGCCGCGTCTTAAAATACAAGGAACCAACATGTGCATCATAGAAACGTGTTATTAAGATATTAGTAAAACAAGGCAGAGTTCCGGCGTTCCATTTAAAAGGCCATGGCTGATTCTTATTAGTGTGGCGGGAATCTTTACAGCCTGGCCGCAAAGACCCCAATTAAGGCTAGTTAAAAAGTTATCCCTATAACCAGGGCTCACCTCCCCCATTCTCCACGAAATATGAGCCCCCCTCCCCCCCACCAAGTTCTGGAAGCGTTCCAGATTGCCAATTGGTAGTCCTCAACACGGCCCCAGAGAGCATTAACAATAATTGGTCTCAGCTGATTTAGAGGCTCGTGTAAGGGAACTTTGAAGCTAACTTGTCGGTATCAAGGTACCCGCAACTCCCCCATGTGATTGATTAGATACTGTAGCAGTTCTGCACACTTCAGAGTCCAAGATGACTTGTGGACTGTGTTGTTTGGATCCCCATTCCTCAAAACTATAAATGCGGCCCTAATTTTTTTTTTTTTTTTTTTTTTTTTAAGTTCTTGGCTCTTGGCTATCCTGGAAATGATGACTTTGTATTTAAGTATTTAGGTTTTCAGATAATAATAGAAAAATAATTACTGTGTGAATATTAAAGCCAAAGTTGTATTTATTTATTTATTTTTAAGATATTCTGTTCAGAGGAAAAGTGTAGTTTGTTGAAAGCGTGTGGAAGAAAACCCGGGATATACATATACTTGTCTTCAAGGACTTAATTTGCAGGTAGACCCTTTCATAGTTTGGTGTCTTCACGATTTGATAGAATATGGGAAAATGTGCTGTTGGTCCATCCTAAGTTTTTCTCATTGAAGCTCACTTATTGCGGGTCAGAGTACCACATTAAGCATCTTGGAAGCACCAGTTACCGCTAAGAAGTCTGTTTCATGTGGTTAAGAGTAGAGGCTCCAGAGTCAGGAACTCTGGGTTGAAACCCTGGCACCACTGCTCACTACTTGTGTGATCTTGAGGTTATGTAATTTCTCTAGTGCTCAGTTTCCGCATATCTTGTAAAATAAGGCAAACAATAGAACTTAACCCACAGAGAGTTATGTCATTGGATTAAATCAAATAATTGTAAATTGCTTAGCAGAGTAAATGGCACAGCATAAATGCTTAGTAAGGATGAGCTATTATCTTTATGTAGAGAGTGTATTTATGCTTGTTCTTCTCATGGCCTTTGCGTATGACCCAACCAGAATTAACATGTTTATTGTTGAAATATCTGCTGTTTTTCAAATATATTTGAACATCACACTTTCTTAGAATAAAATTAGTAGAGCATATGGTACAAGCCCTTTGGTTAGCTGTGTATAAAATATTCATTCAGCATTTATTGAAATAGTGAAGGGAATAGTGGTTCCTATTTGTCAGGAACTACACTAATTGCTATAGAAAGTCAAATAAAACATGATTCTTAAGGAATTTATCAAAATGTAACTTGGACATCAAGGATATAACTTGAACAACAGGACATCAGTAATTACAGTGTGTGTGATAAACAGGTATGCGCTGAAGTTCAGAAACAAAGTGGGACACATAATTCTGGGGAAATTAAGGATAGTTGCAATCCGGTTTTAAAGGGTGAGTAGTCAGCTGGGCCAGGTGTGGTGGCTCATGCCTGCAATCCTAGCACTTTGGGAGGCTGAGGTAGGAGGATCGCTTGAGCCTAGGAGTTCGAGGCCAGCCTGGGCAACATGATGAAACCCTGCCTCTACAAAAGATACAAAAAAATTAGCTGGATGTGGTTGTGTGCACCTGTGGTCCCAGCTACTCTGAGGCTGAGGTAAGAGGTTGTTGCAGTGAGCCGAAATCACCCCACTGCACTCCAATCTGGACAACAGAGTGAGATCTTGTCTCAAAAAAAAAAAAAAAGAGTTAGCTGGGAGAAGAGATATTCCAGGTAGAGGAACATTTATTCTTTAATTCATTTAACACATTTAGAGCATACATAGAATCAGTACTTTGTGTACCTCGTTTAATCTTAACCTCATGAGGTAGCTTATTATTATTTCAAATGTAAGGAATCTGAGCTTGAGAAAAGTAAAATAAGTGATGACATCTGGAGTTGAGTCCATATCTGTATGTCTTCAGAGTTCATATATTTTTCCTGCCCTGCGATTCACATAAAATGAAACAAATTGTGAAAAATCTGGAACTGCTGCTTCAGCCAGAGAAGATGTTTAGTCAGGCATTATCATGACATACATGTTATTGTGTAATGGTAATGCCCGTTTTCAGTTCATACCCAAGTTACTTCTCTTGCTAAAAAACAAAACAAAAACAAAACCCACCCCATAAACCCTCACTCTGCCCTGTTCCCAGAGACCACTGGCCAGAAGTCTCTGAAAATAATCAGAGCTGCAGCACTAAGTATGGGCTAAAGGGGAGGCAAAATCAGGCCCACAGTTCTGGGTGCCTTTAAAGAAGCACAGGAGGAATGATAGCTTTGGGAAGAAAGATAATGAATCTACTTTGAGACCTGTGTGTAAGGGATTGATGGGATATGCAGGTGCCTATGACCAGCTGGAAATACAGAATACGACCTATATTACATATTGACCTTGGGAGAGAAGTTAAGACATAGAATATTCTATAATTTTTTTTTTAAAAAAAGATAGTTGCAGTAATAAGATTGGAAAAGAATGCCAAAGTTTATATCTTAATGGGACAAGAAGAAAACTGAAGAAGGACTATAAAATAAAAAGATTGACTTGTTATATGGCTTATTGAAAGTCACTGTATCATAGATCATGATATGCATCAAAGATCATGTGAAAGGGCACGTGGTGGGTAGAAATTTTAGAGTGTCTCAGCATGTTCGTGAGATTTGGGTTGGGCAAGTTGAGAGTTATCAGAATATTGAAGACAGGAAGTACCCAATGGTTAATTACAGTGTTCCATATTGAAATTTCCTTTAATATAGAAACTTTCATATCCCATAAACATTCATAAATAGAACCATCAAATAAACAATATATAATGTAATCATAGCTTTGCCATTGGTTGGTCTCAAGCTTTACTCTAAGATATAATATGTGTCTATTAAATTCCAGTACTGAAAAATTTACAGTAATTACTGATGGGGAGTGTATGATAAAGATAGTTTCAAATTTTGGTTATGATAAAGAATTTTGAGTTTTCCTGTATAACTGTTAAATTTCACTATTATTCCACATCAATAACTTCACAGATGAGACTTCATTTTAGAGGTGTTCCAGTGGATATTATTTTGGAACATTGTAACTACTGGAAACTTATTTTGGATAATCGTTTAAAAAAACACAGGTGTTTAAGAAAGAACACAGTAGAATTATTAGTGGACTGGAAATCAGTAAATTGGAATATTTAAAAAGCAAGACTTTAATTTTTTAAATTATGTTACAATTTGTAAAAATTTTAACTTCACAGAAAGATCAAATTTTAATGGTAACAAAACTGTAAGTGTCTGTCATGCCGGACCCCATTCACTTCAGTATGGATGGCACCAGGTTCAAGAGGCCAAATAGAGACCCAGAGCCAGCAAATGAGATACTGGGTTTGTTGAAGGGAACTTATGTACAGAGCAGTACAGTGGCAGTGGGCTGGACAGGAGAAGTGCCACCATGTGCAGAAAGCATGCAGTTTAGATAGTGCTTGCACTTAACACCCTCCCCCTAGCAACCTCCATCTGGCAACCTTCATTTGACCCAAAACAAAGGACCTCAATCTTCTGTAAGGCCCATGTTCCACAGGATGGGATGGGGCTCAGATGTTCTCATAGATAAGGATGAATCTCTGGGTTGGCCATGATGGGAAGACCGAACCTACATTGAGGTGTGTCTGCCATACAGGGTCATTCTCAGGATATGTTTATGTTTTGCTGTCTGGTGTGTCTGCCATACACCATCCACAGGCATACTTAACAATTTGATTCTACAAAAATTAAATTACACACATCTGAATTAAGTACAATCATTCTCCTTTATTTTTGCAAACATTATTGATAGTTGATGATGCATATTTCATAGTCTTTCTCCCAGCATTTTACACTAGATTGGAGCATCAGTTAACTTACTGACAGTAACCAAGGATATGATGCCTTATTAATTTCTAAAGCTATAACTGAAGTTAGCAACCTCAAGTAGATGCCCCTTTCCTGGCATTTGCCTGCCAAGTTCTCCATTTATAAATGTACTAACCATTTAGAATTTTGTGAATATTATCTTCACTTTCCTTTTGAATGAATATGTAAATGGAAGTGCCATGTGCAAATTAACTGAGAGAATTTCTACTGAGTAGGAAAGTTATGATTACATAAGAGTAGGGGGGAAAAGTTAGGTGTAATTTGCCTAATGTTGGAGGAAAGCCTGTTGACCCCTCTGCAATCTTTCCAGCCTCATTATACTGTTGAGTGGAAAAGTCCACATTTGTTACAATTACTTCCTGCAGTTTACATTGTGATGCTCTCTTTAGGTTAATATATTTTAAAACACAAAAACTAGAGGGTACTCATATTAAATAATTATTTTTGGGAAATGAAACCACATTTAGCAAATACAGTTTATGCATAAAATAACAAAAACCAGTTTTGGTGGGATGGTAGATTAGTGGTACATTTTTGAAACTTAGCTTGGCTGTGTTTAACAAAATTTAAAATGCAGTTCCCTTGACACAGAATTTCATTTAAATGTATTGAACCTATTCCTTATTGAAGACTGTTCAGTGTTTTTGCTATTACAGGTGTTTGTACTAGAAAATTTGTAATATCAAAAAAGCACAAAACAGTCTTCAATAGGGGACTGATTATATAAAAAGATTATGTAAAAAGGAGATACATTGGCATGTACATCTATGCAAAGATGTCCAACTTATATTAATTAAAACAATTAAAAATTATGATTTGCATCGTATGATTTTATGTTAAACTGGATGTAAGCATGAGCATGTTTTATATATGCATATTTCTGAAGGACATATAAGAAACAACAGACCTTAACCTCAAGAGATTAACTGGGATTTGACTGGAGGGGGAACTTTCACATTTTACCTTATACTCTTTTGTGCTGTTAATACATTTTTAAATAATATATATTATTTTATAATCTTTAAATAATAAAAAAATTAAAAACAAAAGCCTTAAATTAGCTGCAATACTCCTACCCTCCAAAAAACTCACTAAGCCGTTAAGTGATTTAGCCACTGTATAACAAGTATAGAGGTGTAGTGGATTTTTGTTTTTATAATAGTACCTTTATCCAGAATATATTTGGAAAAATCGTTGTTTTTCTGAATAAAGAAATTAAAGTATTGATGCTTTCAT